GTGCGTTTGGCAAGTTAACTCCCTCCCTGGAGGGAGAAGGAGGGATCTGTGTGATTTCAACCATTGGAGTTCCCACCAAGGAAGGAAGGGTCAGTTCACAGCACACAACAGGAGGAGACATGACCTCAGAGCCATGCGGTGATCACAGTCACAACAGGTTGCAGCCAAGAGCACTGAGCATTGACATTTTCAGGACAGATGACTGCGGAGTTTGGGCTTGAGGTCGGCCATTACCATTTACATGATCTAGTGTGAGGTGTCCCTGCCCATGACAGAGGGTTTGGAACTAGATGATCTTAAGGTCCTTTCCAACCCTAACCATTCCAACCCTAACTATCCCATGATTCTACTCTATAAAGATCAACCCAAAATTTAGCTGGGATGGAAAAGAAAGACAGGAATTTGCTATAAGTGACCACTAGTGCAACATGCTGTGGAAAAACTCAATTTTTCTGGAATCGTGATTGCAGATCCTTGCCTGCCTGCAGTCTCGTGCATCCACCATCCAGTTATAGCCTCAGATCACAGGTAGCAGGGTTTGAAGACTAATGACCAGACAGGTTGGCAAATGGGAAAGCTGATCCAGCCAGGCACTGCATGGAGGTCAGCAGCTCATTGTCAGAAGCAAACCCATGCAAACAGGCCATGGCAAACCCCAGCATGCCAAAGAAGTCCGCGTTTTGGGAAGGAGTCAGGGTGGAGTTGGTAGATGATGCCTGCAGGAAGGAATGTGAGGAGTTGCAGTTTTGCTTGGAAAAAGCAGGGGAATTGAAAGGCAACAGGGAAATGGAGGTGGATGTAGAGGAACCCAATGTTTTGTCCTGCCATTTGGGGAAGATTGTAGTGTTGCAGATGGGAGATGTGGCCATTGCAGCAGCATGGAGGCAGGGTATGGGGAAAGCAGAAGTTAGCACAGCATCTTCCTGGGTGCTTCTGGGCTGTGGTCTGACTGGGTTTCATCCAAGCATGGTGAGCTCTGCACTGTTCTGGGGGAAATGCTGCACCTCTGTACTTCAGCTGCAAAATTGCATGTCAAAGCTATCATCACCTTATGTTGATTTGTTCTGAGCAAGTCATGCACCACATCACAGCATTGTCAGTAGGCAACTTCAGCTGGCTTTGTAAGTGAAGTGCCATGGAGGACTTGCCTACAAATGGAAGAGAACAGTACTTTTAAGCAGGCTCCTGTACTCTGCTTCCACCTCAGTGTTTGCTAAAACTGATTATTTGTATTTTTCATCTGCATGTCAAATTTTCCTTACTCTTAGACCACAAGCGGTTGGCAAATTTCACCAACTCTGTGTATTCAGCAGCTAGAAGTACAAAGTCCATGTGTTTGACAGAGGCTCCCAGGTACCTTGATAATTATAAAAGTAAATAACAATAAGATGACTAATTAACCTCTGCATAGTTTATATGTGAATGCATAGTTGTCATAGACTCAAAAGAACAAAACATGTAAAATTAATGTCTTGTTGGTATCCATTAATTAATTCAACACCTTGTTGGTAAGACCAGGCTGGCTCCAGAGTCATGGTGTCAAAAAAGAGGAATTACCCTAAATGATGTTCTTAACTCTACCAATATTTATGCCATCGTTTCACATTGGAAAATTAACCTTTGATGTAGAAGAGTAATTCATACAAATGTTCCACTTTCCCCTGCTCAGTCCAGAGACAGGAACTGCTCTCTGTTTCTTATTCTAGGAGATAAAAGCCTGTGTATCAAGAGGAGCTATGGAGAAGTCCTATGGGATATGACAGCCCTCTTGCAACCTTGAATCTGAATGTGGGAAAGAATCAATTCACCACCAGTGAGCAAGCAGCTTGTTGATCTGTCTGCAAGAGACAGGAAAAGCTACAGCCCAAAATCATGAGGTTTAGCAAAACTAACGCCTTATGAAATCATTCCATCACCACTTAAGGACACATTGCATGAAGCCAGTGATCTTCATATCAGCCACCTGAAGATCATCAGAAGCACTACATGCACTTAAGCTACTTAAACTTGCCCACATGGAGAGCAATCCTCTTCCCTGACATCCAGTACCTGATGCAAGGCCCACAGGACTAAACTCAAGTTCCACAGCCTGAGCATCACCCTGAAGGCAAGCATGTTTGGCCTTCAAGAAGCAAGCAGGTTGCCCTTCTGAGGGGCAAGAAGGTTGTCCCTTCTTATAAAACACAACAGGCTACAGTGAGGCAACACCCCACATAATGAAAATGCTTGGAACACTTTGTCAAAGGGCTGGGATAGGAAGTAAATTAGGCTGCTCCATATTCTGCTCCACTTAGCAAGCAGCAAGATGTTGCACAATTGCTGCTTCCTTTTCCCAGCCATGTTTCAAAATAAATCAATTACTGCTGATTTTGTACAGAGACGCATAGAGTTAGATGTTCTCGGAGGGTTAGGGTTGCTCAGGGAGCACTGTGTGAGTGAACTCCTTGTTAAGAAACTTGTCTGAATCCCAGCACTGGATTGCAGAAAACACCAGGCAGAAGAGGGAAGGCAGAGGTCCGTATGAGTGGCACATGGAACAAAAGCAATTCTTCCATGGAAGAACTTGCATGAAACAAGTACACAGGAGGCTACAAGGAGGTTGTTAATTATGCAGCAAGTCATTAAGCTGTGGTTGGACACAGGATGTGGTAGGTACCAGCAGTTTCCAGGGCAAGTAGACATAAGCATGACAGGAGAGCCCTGTATACATCAGTAGATACAAAGACACTTCTTCTGGCTTAGGAAGGTCCCAAATCACAGATCACTTCGAAGTGGGATGCACTTTGGGGAAGTATCACTGGAAGTATGTCTGCTGGAGATGGGATACAGGCCTGCATGATTCTTAGCCTGATACAGTCATTCTTCTATTTTTCATCTTAGGACAGTCATCTTTGAGTAAAAAAGTAAAGAACCCTAGAAGTTACCAAAATGCTATTTACACAAATGCTGAGGAGGAAAGTTAGAATTGCAGTTTTGGACTTGAGCACCTAAACTCTTTCTGTGTCTCACCTGAAGCATTTACACTGCCTGATTCATTGAGGACTTCACCAATTCTCTTACATTTCTGCGACCTGTCTTTTCTCACCGCAGTATATACATTCCTTAATCCTAAAATTATGAGTTTACTTTTATTGCCTTAAAAGGTCTTAATTATGTGCATGCTATTGGGTGATTAAGGTCGTGATACATAAATGACATGTCTGCCCTATCATTATGCCCAAAATCACTGTGTTATCTGGATATTTTTCTCCAATCATGTATTTTCCCCTCAATTTATGATAGCTCCATGATCCTATGATAAATATATAGCATACATCTTTGGCAAAGGAATAATGATTGAAAGGAAAAATTAGCTGATAATTCCTAACTAAAATATAGTAATTCACTTTTTGAGACTAGCCAGGTAGTTTTTAATCCATTTAGTGTGTCATACCACTTTTTATGCAAACTTTTAACAAAGTTAGAGCATACCATGTGATGATAACACTTGAAAAAGCGTAACTACAGTGCATTCAGTTGACCTCTATCAGCTAAACTCATTAGCTTACCGAAGAACAGTATCAAAGTAATTTAAGAAACAGCTATTCTCCATGAAAGCCTCTTGACTGTTGCCAGTATTTTTCAGTTCATAAATTCAAATGATATTCAGGAGAGACATGAAGGGTGGCTGCTGTTGGAGAGAAATCACAGAGAAATACAACAGCAGCAGCACTTGCAATAGCATGTAGATGTGTCAGGATTTCTTGGCATCTGTATGTGTGTATATAAAACCTGCTTTATATAAATGCAAATAAATAAAATAAAACTCAATGCATAAAGAATGTAACACAGCTATCTGGGAAAATCTGAAGAATAAGTGATTGTGTGTTGTAAAACTGTAACCCTGACAATAATTTATAAGCTGAAATGAAGAAATAGCTCAACATTACATTTTCAACAGTGTGGAAAAAAATGTACTCACAAAAGGATAGAAAAAGGAGACCAGGGAGGTAATTTTTACCTGGTTGGTGAAATTAGGTAGGGAAACTAAAATACTGAATGCAGCTTTCACTGGCAACATTTTTGAATGGGTGTTTGATGATGAGAGAGGTTTTAGTAAGAAACCACAGAAAGATCTGAGAAGTGATAAAGTTGCCTAACTAGTATGAGAACCAAGAAGCTCCATCTGTTTGATTTCATCTAAAAGAAGATCAAAAGTTGGTTTGATCACAGATCGTAATTACATTTAAAGGAAGGAAATCTTTAGAAGAAAGGGGACATGAAACCAGAACCAGTGGCTGAAAGTTACAGCCAGAGGATTACCAGTGGATTCCGGAACACAGTTTTTTCCATGGTGATTAACCACCAAGGCAAACTAATGAAGGAAGGGTTCATACCTTGGTGGTTTTCTCAGCTGTCGTGGTTTAAACCCAGCCAGACAGCTTGTTCACTCACTCCCCCCCCCCCCCCCCCCCCGCCTTTTTGCCCTCCTCCTGCTCCCAGAGGGATGGGAAGGAGAATCAAAAGAATGCAACTCCCATGGGTTGAGATAAAAACAGTCCAGTAACTAAGGTGTAACACAAATCACTACTGCTACCACCAATATTAATAAAGGAAATAACAAGGAAAGAGAATACAACACCTCACCACCCACCAAACAATAACTGCCCCCCCCTTCCCCCCCCCAACCTGACCAAGCACCAACCGATACCTCGTCCAACCCCACCATCCTCTAGCCCTTCCTGGGTAACTCCCAGTTACATCCTGGGCATGACGTGCTGTGGTATGGAATACATTTGGTCAGTTTGGGTCAGGTGTCCTGTCTCTGCTTCCTCCCGGCCTCCCCTCCTCTCTGGCAGAGCATGAGACTCACAAAGTCCTTGGCCAGACAAAAACATTTGAGCAGTAACTAAAAACATCAGTGTTATCAGCACCGTTCCCAGGCCGAAAGTCAAAAACACAGCGCTGCACTGGCTACTAAGAAAGACAAAAAATGACTGCTACTGCTAAACCCAAGACATCAGTAAACATGGATCCCAGTTGAGCACTCATTTCTTCTACCCCTTACCTATTCTGGATCAAAGACCCATCTATGCCTTCTCTCTAGAAAGTGGTGGAGAAACATCTTGACTTCCCGGCCATAGCTGACCCTGCTAAAGCAAATCTGCCTGCCCTGGCACCCTCTTATAAAGGAGCTGGAGTTTGCAGCCATTGACCACAGAGCAATGACAGCACTGGGCTGCTGCAGAAGCCATGTAAGGGGCTCATCAGCAAATGAGGCTCTAGAAGACACCAGGAATTCAGGCAGGACCCTGCCTGCAGTCTGCAGTAAGACTCAGCAAAAATGTCTCCACAGATAAAAATGAAAGACTTCAGGCTCAACAAACCAGTGTTGCATTTTGTGACATTATTTTGGATCTTGCCAAGCAGCCGTAGCAAGCAGTGCAAGTGATGGCTCACTGGACCTGTGCACAACATGAGAAATGATTGATGCACCTTCAAGTGAGAGGCACCACTGATGGCTTTTATTGGTTGTATTGAGCCATAATCACCCATCACACTCTTTCCCTTATACCTGGGAATTCACATCTCATCCTGCCCTTTTTCCATAACAGCTATTATTATTTGGGGTACAAAGCAAAAATATATAGTGCTTCTGGAGATGCCTACACTATGACTTTGCAGCTGTCAAATCCACTGTCTGCAAAGCAGGTGTTATTTTTACCACATGCGCTCAAGGAAACAGCTTACCCTGGCTATGGTTTTCAAGAACTCAGCCATAATGTTTCAACTATGTGTACTATCATCATGACAAGTCTGTCAGTCAGTCTGTCTTGGGAGCAGCTTTATTTTCCCTGCATTAGCTGTACTGTGATCAGACCCAAGAGCCTCAATGTGGCAGACACTGCATAAAAAAAGCAGTGAAAACCCAGTTTCTGCCAAAGCTCTTTGCATTCATTGCAGATCCTTTGGAAAGGCTGCTGGAGAAGAGAAGCTCTCACAAGAAGTCTGTTGTGGTGGTTAGAGAAGCTTCATCGCTGTGGTACCTTCAGCTAAGATCTTCAATGGGTAAGCAAGGGAATAAAAGGCTTTTTGCATGGATGGGATGAGATGTGCATACAGGGGCAGGAAATGTGTGGGGATAAAACATCAGCCTCCCTGGTGAAGTCATCTATGTACATGCCAAGAAAATACAAGCTGCTGCTGAATGAAAGTGCTGATATTTTACATCTATTTATGCCTGTGACAATTCAAAGCCTGGTATGGGGGACAGCAAGACCCATTTCCCATTGGATTGTGACCTGGGAGCCTGCAGCAGTCAGGGCTTTCCTCCCCTCTGCAATGCCATAAGGGAAAACATCCAGCCTGCAAACTGATGGGAAGCCAGCAAGAAAGTTTTTAGCTACCTTCCAGCCTGCCCCCATTCATCAGGAGCCCATATCATACAGCAAGCGCTAAAACCTAGCAGAGATCAACAAATTTCTTTTCCATGCTGGCATGTTTAATGAAAGATTCTGCTTGAAAATGCCTAAGAAATAGTTTATAACTTCAGATTCTGGGAAATTGGTACAGATGCTGTTCAGAACTGAAATGCACTGAATAAGCCTGTTGCTGTTCCCACCTCTCCCCTGATAAATGTAGAATGTAGTACTCCATTAACTCCACTTGTCTCCAGTGTTTGTATCCAAAATTAATAATCCTTGCCGTTCTCTGCCCAGCATCACCCCAGTATAACTCAAATAGAGCCATTCATCATTTACAGCATTGTAACCACTCAGGCAAGGATGCAAAAGTGGTATAGCTTTAGTTCATAGCACAAACACATTCATATTGACATGAGAAAAAGCTATGCTCCTGCTACACAGTCTACACATGGGACTGTGGCATAGTTGAGAGTGGACTCAGCTCTGGCTGTATGGAGGACACTGTTAGTGACTGAATTCACAGCCCTGGCAGATTACTGTAAAGCAGAACTCAATTATGGACTGCAGTAGCCATTGTCACTCTCAACGGTACTAACCGTATCTCTGCTCAAAACCCCATGCATGCAGCAACCTGGATGTGTGGAAAGCTTACTGTCCTTGGCAATACCAAGCAATCATCTTGGCTTGTGATGGAGGCTGTTGAGGGTGGCTGACAGCTCCCTCCAGATGCCCAAAGGGACGCTTCTTTATCCCATTAAACTCTCACGCAGAGGGACTGGCCCAATAGATGCAGGGGAGTAGGGAGTTGTTGCAGGCAGCTGTAATAAATGCACAGCAGCAAACACTGCATTTATGAGCTGAGCTCATATGTCTTCGGAGGGGGGAGGGGAGCATCTTTACTCCTTGCATATAGAGCACGTGCTATGTTACACGATGTACAGTCAGTCAGTCACAAATTATGTCGTTCATTGGTACAGACAGTGTGGCTGATAGAACTGGCATCATCAAAGCCTGGTGCATTAAAAACCAGAGTGATGACCCAGCTTGCCTTTGTTTTCAGGACACACAGCCAAGCCAAAGGCATGGGGACCAAACACCGAGCCACCCAATTTGGTTACCACCAAGGATTCATTTCTCTTGACTCCAAGGTTGCCTGCCCCTACTTCTTGCCCAGGTCTCTCTGACTGGTGGCAAAATTACACTAAGTTTTTTTGACTCCAAGCAAGGCTGGCCACAAGCAGTAAATAAAGATAAAATACAAAATATGACCCTAGACTGTAAAAGGCATACAATTCTAGACAAAGACCATGTGACAATGCGGTACTGGAAAAAATGAAGAGCTAAAGAGCCCTTGCCAATGAGAGATGGTGAGGACAGAGGAAGGAGGTTGCAAAGAGCAACCACATGTTTTTATTCCTTCTGCGGAGATACAGTTTGTCACATAATAATACAGTCAATAGCTTTATCTACCTTTTGCAGCTGGCAGGCAGAGTATGTGTAGCAACATTACCCCCTACAGTTCAACACTAGGTTCCCACTTTCTTTGAGCTTTTAATACTGCTCTGGATTTTGCTTATCTTAAACCACTGAGGAAACTTATTATTTCAGTTTAAATCTACCAAACTGACGTGTGTGTGTAAAACACTTGGAGGAGGCAAAAGGAACAGGCAAGTTGGCAGCTTGCAAAGACTAATCACTGCAAATGACTGAAAAAAAAACCCAACACTTTAAGTTACCCTAAGTAACTTTCCATCAGCACTTTCTCCTTATTTAGAGCTTTTTGGTCACGAATTTTCATTTGACTGAGAAAAATGGTGATTTTTCCACTTTCCCTAATGGGGGGAAATTTACTATTTGAGAACAACATAAAACATCTTACAAGATGGAAAAAATTACTTGACATTTCAGATTTGGGAACTTTATCTGGGGAAAAAAGGTACATTTTTAAACAAAAAGTTGTCTTACACAATTTTTTTTCTTAGGTGCAATATTTGAAAGATAAACCAGTTACCACAGTATTGCTGGCTGCTTGGGGGGGATGTCCCATGGGCTCCTCCAGCTCTCAGGGATCCCATCCCTGTGGCATTCACAGGGCTCGAGGTATTCCAGTCCAGCCTTATTGAACTTGCCATATTTTCTTTTTCCTTCATTCTCTTGCCATATTTTCTTTTTCCTTCATTCTCTTAAACATGGAAGTAAAAAGGGGAAACACAGTAGAGCTTTCTTTAAAATAACGCAAGCCTTGTGAAAGACAAAGCACCTTTGAAAGGGGATGAAAATATCTTTAGGGGTTAAATGTTCATGGGTATTAATTTTAAGGCAACACTTCAAGGAGCAGCGCCTTAAAATGCTGCTGGTGCAGCACAGACACCCGACTGTAAAAGCTGAAATTGGCTTTTTGGAGCTCATTTGCACTTCTGGTAGAATCACAGTGAGCACTGATGGCCAGGACACACACAGTTGCCTTTGCATTTATCACAGGTTATCGCTTACAGCTATAAAATGCCTGAGCTTGTTTATTACCTAAGAAACATTACAGGGGATTTTTTAATGCTCAGCACACTGCACAAAGGTGCACAGGAGGAGGAGGATGATGAGCCACCAGCCACTGCTCCCAAAGCCCACCATTGTACTCCAGTGGGGTGCAGCATGGTGCAATCCTGCCCACATAGAAACCTGCACCAGCAAAGCCGTCTTCCTTCCCATCCTGAGCAGGCAGGCAACTTCATCACCTCACCCATGGCGATGGAGAGGGGAAAGCACCTCTGTATGAATACCCTACTGTGTTGTAGCATCATCAGAGAGGAGCCAGTGCTGCATTTTGCAGCGTATCATGCAAATCACAGCTCATACAAATAGCAGGCAAAAGACTTCCTCAGCCAAGTGTGACAACTTCATATATACCTCAGATAAAAACAGCGGTATGGAGAATGATTAAAACAGAAACCCTGACATTGCAATCACAAATCTGAATGGATTCTGGGTTAAGAGTAATAAATGTAGCACTGATCAGTCTGTGGCTTTGCCTTTGCTACTATTAAAAGCACATGAAGAATCCAGAAAAAAAACAGTTTCCAGAATAATTTGTGTCCTGCCCCCATTATCATACTTAGATTTTATCAGTACAGACCAGACGACATGTGTGAGCATTTCATTGCTGGGAGTGGAAAGCTACAGGCAAAGCCTCTGCAGACAGAGCTTTTAATGGATCTTGTTAGATCACTACAACCCTCTGCTCGGGGCTATCTGTTTTTTGGTTTAAAAGTACCTTATCTTGACTTAGCAGTGAGGAATCAATTTTGACTGCAGGTTGTTTTTAGCCAAGGGGTCCAACTCTGTGGTATTTGGTTTGGAAAGAAGGATATATTTGTCCAAAATAGGAACCTGTTTTCTACAGGATGCTGCACTTGGGGGCTTAAAGGGCAGATAATAGCAGTCCTGCCTGCACTATGCAAAAAGCATTCTATAAGCCAAGTGCCGCTTTTCCCCAGCAAATTCAGGGAATAGATCAGAATTCAAGAAGTTATACGAACTCATCTTGGTTTCTCTTCCTTTAGAGAATACCTGATAGCAATGCCCAGTTGCAATTAACCTCAACATATGGTTGCAAGGAATCCCTCAGTTCTCTATCATGCCTCTAACTTCCTCGGAGAGCAGAGCTTGAAGCAGAAGCAGAGT